ACAAGTCTCTTGTTATTATATTATTAAAATTTTATAGTCATCTATAGTCGCGATCAAGGACGATAAAATAAATTCGGAAGGAATATTGTACATAAATACCATCATATACTTTTCTTGATTAAAAAATACGAAGTATATACATTATGCAAAATAGCAACAGCATAGTAAGTTCTTGTATAAAAATTCCTGGTCCACTTATAGCGAAAGAAAAGTGTTCGATTATTTAATTGCGAATGTTCATTTAAACACACAGAATTTATATTTATATAATCTCTAACTTCACAAATTTGTTAAATACAATAAATAAATAAAAATAAAGAATACGTAAAATTTATATTTGTTGAAGCTATAACTCTACAAAATTTTGAAATGCAACAAATAAATAAAAATCACGGTCCACAGATCGCATTCAGAATCACGTAAAGAATTCTCATTCCACACCGTTATTCATTCTTCACAACAGTTACAAAACGTTCGCTTTACACAATTTGCCAATCTTCCCACGAGAAGATAATTGTTATTCTCAATATTTATAGGTTATGCGCATTTATGGCTCTGGGAAAACCGAGGATTCCGCAGGTGTTGACTTTTTTTGTAGAGGAATTGCAGCTTTGGAAAATAGATGGGAAAGAATTGTTGAAAACGGTGGAAAATATATGATTCATTCGAAAATTTTCCATATTTCCTTTCTTCCAACAAGAAATATAATAAAAGTAAGTGTATATACACATATTAAAATATTCGAACACCTTTAAAAAAGAAATATCTTTCTTCGCTTGAATTTTTGTATACAGGATGTCCCAAGTTTTTTTGGTCAAATGGTATCAGTATATTCTACGAGTGAAAGTTAGAAAAAAGTATTATATAAACATAGGTTAGGTAATGCTTTATTAAAAAATTATAAGAAAAGTACGAAATAAGAACGAACTGTTAGCGAATATTTACCTATGTGCATGCATACAAGGTATTTGGTACTTGGTACAGGTACTTGGAAATCCAGAATATCTCAGAAACTACGAAAATAACATGTTTTAACAAAAGTAGTTTAGTATGAAAGAGGGCATAACGTGTTATAGTTTTTTGTTGGCAAAAAAATGGCGGATTTCAAGGTCTCGTTAAATTTTAAATAGAATGCTGTATTTTTTCATACACTGTACTATAGTACAATTTAGTACGAATCCAATGAAGTGCAATCGAAATCATTTCTGACAATAGAAACATGGAAAATCGTCGTTTAATCAAGTCATCGTATGCCGCCCAGCTCTGGCCAGTTACACTTCGCGTGATGAATGATTGCCTGCATGTTTATAAACGATTGGATACGTTTCGATAACGGGATAAAACTAAAATAACTTTTGTCAAAACATTTCTTCACTATCTTTCGTAGCTTCTGAGATACATATTCTGGATTTCCAGATAAAACGGACACCCTGAATGATAACTTCATTTCGAAGTGCCACCCGTTTCTGAAAATATTGTACTGACATCTATGAAAAATTAAACGATTTAGTGAACATAGCTTGGATAAATAAATACAGATAAAAGAAATACAACTAACATATTTCTACATCGAACGAAAATCAGTTATTGTTTCATATTTTTCTTATAATTTCTTAATACAGCATTTTTTAACCTATGTTTATATGACCTTTTTATCTTATTTGCTGGTACCGTTTGGCCAAAAAAAGCCTGGTACCTGTATATTAAAGTAACTGGCTTTTTATACAATATACAGGGTGTCCCAGGTTTTAATGTTCAAACTTTGTCAGTATATTCTATGGCACAAAGTAAGAAAAAAATGTTATGTAAACATAGGTCATATAGAGCTTTATTAAGAAGTTATAACAAAAATTCAGAATAGGAATAGTAATCAACTAAAAAATAAATAAAACAAATAAAAAAAAATCTTCGATCGATGTTAATCATGTATTGTCAACAACGGTAGGGTTTTCGAAATGTGTTAATAAACACAGCTTACATAAACACACGGCATGTGCTAATCTATACAAGCCAATGTTCGCAGTAACAGCAAGTTGATTACTATTCCTATTCTGAATTTTTGTTATAACTTCTTAATAAAGCTCTATATGACCTATGTTTACATAACATTTTTTTCTTACTTTGTGCCATAGAATATACTGACAAAGTTTGAAAATTAAAGCCTGGGACACCCTGTATAAACAAATTTTCGCGAAAGTTACAATTGGTTGAAATGTCACAAAAAATAAAAACGTTTTAACTTAGCTTATATTGAAAATTTGAACAATGCACTTTGTAAATCGGTAGTTTACATATGTGCTGAAAACTTAATCGAAATCGATTGACATTGTTATCTGTTACAGATGTTAAAAGATGTGAAGATTTCAAAATTTCTTACAATTATAAAAGTCGTGAAAAATTGTGATTTTCACTGTTTTTAAATATTTCGATGAAGCAATTTCGATGAAATTGACAACATGTATATGAGTTACCAAGATTTACAAAATATTAGGTCTACCGGAAAGTTCTGTCCGATAGTGTCACTTCAAGTTTCAATCCATACGCACATGTTGATTTGAGACATATATGACTATCTTTCTTTGTCATTGCATTTACACACATGTACTCTCCTAAATAAACTGAAACAAAGATGTCTCATGTCATTATTAAGTGAGACGCGATCGTGAAAACGTGGCTACCGATGATAATGACAGACCACATGCTGCTTTGGCGACTCGTCAGAAAATCGCAGAGCTAGGCTGGGAAATTCTGTCGCATCCACCATACTCCCCAGACCTAGCACCCTCCGATTATTACTTGTTTCTCTCTTTGCAAAACTTTTTACAGGAAAAAAAATTCAAAACTGAAGCTGATGTCAACCAAGCACTAGTTGAGTTCTTCGCCTCTAAAAATAAATCATTTTTTAAAAATGGCATTTACAAGTTGCCATCACGCTGGCAAGAAGTCATAAGTAACGATGGAAAGTATATTCTACAATAAATATTATTATCAATTGTGTTATATTTCTAATTCATATATTTATAATTCAAAAACGGACAGAACTTTTCGGTAGACCTAATATATTGTTTGAATTTTCGTTATGGGTTCGGAAAAAAGTTATTTTGTTTAACGCTTTTATATTTTCTGTCATTCCAATCACTTGCAACTTCCGCAAAAGCTTTTGTATTCATTGTGTAGTAAACTAGTCCATCCAACGTTAAAAAATATTCAGATCTTTGGTCCAATTTTAAAAAGATTATTCCATTTTAACACGTTAGTTACTGAAAATCAATCTCAAAAAAACTCCAACAAAATGAAAGCAATTTGATTAATGAAATTGAAACTAGAAAATTAAGATTTATCAGAATAGATAATATTTTAACTCTTTTGCTACCTAAACATCCTAGTAGAATTTAGTTTGTTCAATTACAATAGAAATCTATTTTGAAAACTAGTAAAAAAAATGCGTGTCAAACGCTTTCTTGACTGGATCGCAATGTTTCGCGGGAATTTTACGGCATGTTGAACGCAATGAGTTCAATTCATTTTAGGCTAGATCTCATGATGAAACGCAGGAAACGCAACTGAAGACGACACCAGTAATCTCTCTTAATTCCGTTCCGCGACTAAGCATTCATTAGCGTGTGGTTTTCGTGACATAAGTACACGTGGACGCGGTATTTTACTCCGCGCAGGTTTCACGCGTTGGTAAAGGTCGCACCACGGGCACAAGATAGACTATGTTGTAGTCAGTGTTTTCTGCAAACGAACCGTTAAATCGCGAATATGCAGGTACTTGATGAAGCAAAGCTAAAACGAAAAATGTGCAAGTAACATACAAAATTGCTACTAAATTTTATCTGTATTAATCACCAATATCACTGCTCTTGAAGCATCGGTTACGTGTTATAAATATATCCTATCGGTTTTTTACTGATTTAGTGTTGACTTTATCCTATTGTCAACTTAATTGTTTCCGCTCCCTTCCTTTCCTATTCAAATTTCAAGATTACTATTCCGTTTTTGACGCACCTATCCTATATTGTAAACAAGATTATTTGTAAACAAGAACGAAACTGCAATTCTTTAATATATTGCATATATTGCTATAAAAAAAAGTATGCGATCATTTG